TTTTTTTTTTTAAGGTTGGAGAATGAGCATTTAAATAATACAGGCAAATATAGAGCTGTGAAGATAGTGCCACTTCCCTTTCATGAGGTGGATGACCAAGATTGATCATCAATCAATTTGTCAAAGTTGCTAAAAGAGAAGATTTATTGTAGAAAAAAAAAAAAAAAAAAAAGAAGTTTATTGTAGCAAATGATGATGTAAAGTTGTTTCTTTATTATTCCCCACTTTTTTAGCACTTAAAAGGTTCCGTCAATATTTGTTATCGTAGATTATGTACAGAACATAATCTACATGTGTATCCAATAATGAAAAACACTGACTACCTTAGTATTTTCTTTTTGTTGCAGGTTCATTTATGTTGCATATAAATTTGTGAACCATGTTAATGAAGTTAAGTAATTTTACGTTTATTTGACACAAAAATGTCACCATATCATATGTTGCAGACATTTTTTTTTTTTTTAAATTCTATTTCCCAATTTTATATGAATACTTTGTGCCTGTGGTCATTTGCTTCTACAATAAAAGTCTAGCCTAACTAGCAGCACTATTTTTTTTTTAAATTTCAATAGATATGCATAGTCAGCAAAGTTTTAAAATGCAGATATTTTCCTAATGATAGCATCTTCTCTGTTAACAAGAAACAAAATAGCTCTTGGCTCTAGAATAGTTGGCTATCTGTGAGAGCTGACATCCAAGATGGCTTTCAATACAAGGTGCAGGATGGAGCATTAATCAAAATTTGGCAGTACCCTTGGGTACCATCTATTCCTAAACTCCAACCTCTGCAATGTGATGATTATCATAAGAATTTTTTGTGGGTCCAAGATTTGTTGGATGGTACAGGAAGAAACTGGAACCAAGAGCTCATTCACCAACTTTTCACCGAGAAGGATGCTTCAGCCATTCTCAAAATCAAAGATCTTGACCCCACAAAACCAGATAGATTGATCTGGACTCATGGTGCTACAGGTAAGTTCACAGTCTCCTCCACCTACCAAGCCCTGCTCAAATCCAAATGGAATGCTATGGACATAGCTGAATGCAGTCATCAACACAAGCTCTACACTGCAACTAGAAAGAGATGTTGGAAGCTCAAGATAAAGACTAAGCTGAAATATTTTCTCTGGAAGAATATGAACAATACCTTACCAGTTGCATGTAATCTACTCAAAAGAGGAATGACCATTGACAGTACCTGCATGTGCTGTGGAGAAGGCCCGGAAACAATTGAGCACCTCTACTTCTCATGTCCAAGAGCTCAACATGTGTGGAAAATGGCTCCTTTGTCCTGGGATGGCCTTCAACTAGAAACAGACAATTTCAGCACATGGTGGTCTCACATATGCTCAATCAACAACAGCCCCACGTCTGAGGCTAGAATCCAATTGTCCACCTATATTCTTTGGTGGCTTTGGAAAGCCCGGCATCTGTGGGTATTCAAAAAAACATGGAGACCCCCTAAAGCAATCATCGATGCTGCCACTTCTGAGTGGATGGAATTCAGCAAAATTTCAACCTCTTAGCCTTTATTTCTGGTTCTTTAGCTTTCTGGTTGTGATCCTTCTTAGATAGTTGATCTTCTTTTGCTTCTTTGTCTGTTGGCTTTAGTTGATTTTGCTGAGGTACTACTAGGCCCATGTGTGGTGCAGTGGTAGTATTTCCCTTTTTGTTGTGCTTGCAGAAGTTCTTCTTGCCAAGCCCAGAAATTGGAGTTCAACCATTTGGATCCTATGCCTTTGTCATTGCCATTTGGTTGGGTCCAAATTCTGTTTTGATGTTTTTATTTTGTTCTAGAGCATCCTGTGATGCATCCCCCAGTCTTGCGTTGTGTAAGCCTATCGGGCTAGTTAGCCCTCGACATTGTATTATATTGTTTTGAGATATAAATTCTATCGTTTCGAAAAAAAAATAGATATGCATAGTTTAATATCAAAACTTTATTTTTAAAAATAATAAAAATTAAAATATGATATTTCATAATATAATCCCCTTATATATGATTCCCGAATGCGCTGAGCCTACGTGGCTGCTTCTGGTGCTTCGGAATCCTACTTGGCAAATAATCATGCTTCGTAATTAGGTTTGGACAAATAATATTGATATATTAATAATTACCCCTTATATATAATTCCCGAATAATTCCCGAATGCGCTGAACCTACGTGGCTGCTTCTGGTGCTTCGGAATCCTACCTGGCAAATAATCATGCTTTGTAATTAGGTTTGGACAAATAATATTGATGATATATTAATAATTAATAATCTAGGTTAGGACATTCCATAAATAATATTTAGTTAACTTAGGTATTTTAATATCACTTGTACTAATATAACCCTTTAATTCTTTGTAATTTTACATAGTGAGGCACTAAGTGACTAATATATCCATGACTTTTGATTTGTTTCCTTCAATTAGCTATTGAATTTTAAATGTATTTTAAAAGTTGATAACATTTGTATTTCTTATCGGTTTTACATATATAATATATCAAATTAATCACCTCTTGATGATGTTCGATTTGACATCCAGATTGTATATATTAAATAAATAAATTATATTTATCTTTATAATAAAAAAATAATAATAATATTTATTAAAATTCATTAGAAAAATAAAATTATTTCTCAATTGATATATATATTTATAATGTAGATATATTTTGTAAGTTTTAAAAACTTATTATAATATAATACAGGTAAGTAGGGGTGAGCATGGTGCGGTTCGAAAAAAACCGAACCGCACCGCAAAAAAACCGAAAACCGATTTTCTGAAATTTCTTAACCGCACCGCACCACAAGAGAAAAAAACACCGAACCAAACCGAACCGAATAGTTCGGTTCGGTGCGGTGCGGTTTTCCGGTTAACCGCAAATAAAAAAAAATAAATTACTACAAATAAAAAAAATACAAACAACATCTCATTATGATTATGCCATTACAAAATCAAAATTAAACAACCACAATAAGTCTAACACTCAAAGTTTTCTTTTTTATGTTTTAAAAGTGCAACATGTATACAATAGATATGTAGAGTGGTAAAATTAAAATGACACTTTTTTAATATGCGGTGCGGTTCGGTTAAAACCGCACCTTTCGGACGGAGAACCGAACCGCACCGAAACATCTGCGGTTTTCCAAAATCCAAACTGCACCGTTAACCGAGCCCATAAAAAACCGCACCGAACCGCACCGAATCGCTCGCTTCGGTTTGGTTTTTCAGTTTCGGCTCGGTTTTGCTCACCCCTACAGGTAAGTCACCCAAAAAAAAGTTTCATACTTAATATATAATAGTATATATATTTTTATAAAAGGTTTTAAATTTTCAACTATTTTTCTCATTAATTTTAGATTTTAAATAAAAAATTAACAAGCACCCGTATAATACACGGACGTTGTACTAGTTATGCACTATAGCTAAAAATTAACAGTGACGAATTAACTCGTCTAACCGCTAACTTCCCTTACAACAACATTTGTGCATTTAAGATGATCCGATAACTAAAAGATAAATTGTAGTGATTAGATGATTGGAGATTTTAAATTAACATCTATATATATACTCTAGGGTCTCGTTACGAAACCATTTTATCGGGATTTGAACCGTTAGATCAATTATCACTGACAATTACATGATAATCTAACGGTTACAAACTCCAACGGAGTGGTTCCGAGACGTAGCATTTAACCATATAATCCACCAAAATCAGAAAAAAAAAAAAGAGATAAAAATAAAAACGCCCGTGTCGAACAAACGAGGACAACTTTGCCCTAATTACATCTCTCCACCAAACCAGCTGACACCAATTCCTGAAATCGTCTTCATAATTCATCCGATACCGGCGCAATTTGAGCTCAAATTGAAGTGCACGGGCGGGTATTGCAAGGATTGCTTGGCAAAATTGACGGATTCGAAGCGATATATCGAAGACTTGGTCGTTTTTCGGGTATATTTACAGATTTTAGTGTTTTCTTATTTGTATGTACTGTCCATGTATGAGATCTATAGCGTGTTGGCGTGAAAATATTGAGAAGAAAATGATTCTGTGTAAAAGACTCTGAATATGTACGGTTTGCTGTATGAATCTTCTATTTGAAGAACATGTTAAGGTTTTCGAATCTTTGTGAATAGGGTTTATCAAGGTAACAAATTTATGGCGCGGGAGTGATTAGGAATTGTAAAGGGATGCGTAGAAGGGACTGCTGATGGAGTTCAGTTTTATCTTTCTTCTGGGGTTTAACCCAAAGAAAAAAAAAATCAAATCTTTGTGAATGTTTGGGGTTTTATTTTATTTGTATTATGTGTTGTGTATATTCTAGGATGGTCCGATTTTGTGATCTTTGATACTCGTGTTTCATAGGTATGCATTTTGCAAAATCTTATTTCAGCTTATCATATTCGATGTAACATTGATTTTTCTTATTTTCAGTGTCTGACTGTCTTCTGTCTTGAAAAATCTATTAACTTGATGTCTTGACTCTTCACGTCGTTTCGGTACCAGGAAAGGGTTTCACTCATATTGCTTCTACAACTTTTCAACAAATAGAAAGAGCTTTGCTGGGATAAAATCAACTCTTCGTGGTAGCCATGGACCATGGACGCTATCATCAAGGATGGGATAATAACAGCGTAATTGTGGTTTCTTTTCATCACATATATGGGATGATTTAGCCAGAAATTAGGCTCATGTGATTGTCCATTTTTTCCGGCATCTTTTCGTTAAAGACATGAGAGAAGCCATGGGACAGTGAGGAGTTGGAATCGTTTGCCTACCTTTACCGTGATTATTACTTGCTGACTCTGCTTATTCTCTTGAATCCACAGGCATTGGAAGGGTATGGTGCAGGTCATGATTCAAACTTTCGGTGAGTGCATGGTGATGCTTACTACCCAGGGAGTAATTGGTTTCATGTGCATAACTTTATGGATCTGAAATGTGGATTTGCTATGTACTAGTCAATTATTTCTGATTGTTTATGTCAAGTATATCAAAGTTGTTGGTCTGAATTTTTCACCGCATGCATGCTATACTTGGTAGTGGCGTTTATACTGCAGAAACTGTGTTCGTATGCATAATGGCAATGGTTATATCTGTTCCTATCACTTCTTTCTATCGGCCCTTTGCCTAATCTTGTCTTTGCAGGGATAGTGGATCCTATGATGATAGGAGGTTTATCGATGAAAGATTCTCGAGGGATAGTATCCATCCTAGGGGATCGTTCCATAGAAATGCATTGGAGAGAAATAACTATCCTCCACCGCCATCGTCAGTTGGAATGTGGCCTCAAGCACGGAGGCGAGGATATGAAGAAGAGTATCCATTCGAGAGGGATTACAGACGGCATGAGAAGCCGTACGCAGTTTGATAATACACAATTCTTTTGTTTTGATTACGCTGATAAGTGATAAATATACATGATTTACACATTTGGGTATTGTAAATTATCATCATGCAGACCTTCTAGATATGGAGGGCGGGATCGGGAGGATTATGGTGATGATGATTATGACTATAGACCTCGTTCCGTGCATCAAGGTAGGGAGGAAAGCCGTGAAAGGGATTATGATTACAGCAGGCATAGTTATGATTCGGACTACGAGAGGGGTTCCAGGAGGGACGGTAACTGGAGAAGGCGTGAATCTCGGGACCGTGAATGGGACAAGAGGGGCCCAAGTCGGGAAAGGGAAGAAAGCTCCTATAGAAGACGTGAGCACTCTCCGTCATACTCCCGCTCTCATTCTCGTGGCCGTGATGATCGAATGAGGTCGAAATCTCCTCGGAGCAGGAGTCATGGCCGAAATCATAGGGAAGAGAGTTACGAAGACAGCCGCTATGATAGAAGTGATAGAAGAAGAGATCGTGAGGATAGCCGTCATCATGACCATTATTCTGTTGTATGCGCATTTATTTTGCTTAGTCTCTCTTTTGTTTACGTCGTGCTTGATAAAATATTGACTGAGCAGATGCTGTTATCTCTCTATAGGCTCCCTCTGCTACTGTCGTGGTAAAGGGTCTCTCGCAAAAGACTACTGAAGAAGATTTGTACCAAATTCTTGTAATCTTCGTTTTAAGCATATCTATCTTTTCCACATTATTTTCTCTAATCACCATTGTTGCTTTGGTTTTCATTTGCGCATTTCTTGCTCTATGTCAGGCTGAATGGGGACCTCTCCGCCATGTCCGTGTGATTAAAGAGCGAAATTCTGGGGTTTCCCGAGGGTTTGCTTTTGTTGATTTCCCTTCTGTGGTACGAAAGCTGGTTACAGTCATACTATTTGATTTATCTAATAGTTTCAACTCAAAATAGATTTGCTCATATAAAACAGGATGCGGCTCAAGCAATGATGGATAGGTTTGGGCATGAGGGGCTCCTTGTGGATGATCGGAAGCTTTTTTTTGAATACAGGTAATATATACATAGTTTTTGCTGCTGGTTGAGTGAAATCTTTTGCGAACATGATCATTGTAAATTTTGGTTTTTGCTACAGTAGTAAACCGACTGGTGGAGGAGATAGTGGATCCCTTGGAATCAATACCTCTTCAAGATCAGGCCATAGTAGCCATAGAAGTATCATGATACCTTCTGATTGGATGTGCATCATATGTGGCTGTGTCAATTTTGCAAGGAGGACATCATGTTTTCAGGTTCGTATGTTAAGGCTGTGATTGGATATTAGGCATTTTCATCTTACGGGAGTTATTTTTTTTTTTCTTCTCTTTTTCTTAAAAAGTATACTGTCCACTCGTCTCACTTTTCCCATGTCATGTTTAACAACACAATTTAAAATAAATATACATCATTACTACACTATTTACTATTCATCCATTCACACATTTTTAACTACCACTTGTTATGTTATTATTTTAACATCCCATTATTTTTAATAGTCAAGTTTCCATCTTATCATCAATCATATCTTCAGATTACTTCTTTTCTCCCCGTAACTTTTTTTTCACCGGTGAAATATAAATTTTCCAACAAAATATATCCAATAGCACTTGGTTTCTTTACTGCAATTTCTTGGAAGTTTACATTCTTATTGGCGGTTCCTTTGGCAAGAATATTTGCTCTGGCTTTGCCAGACTTTTTGAGCAGTATTTTCTAGATTAATTGAATACAATGTCATGGGTTGTAGTGTCTATTTTATGATTAGGCACTCCTGCCAAAACCACGTATCATTGTCTCTAATAGTAACTTACTTTTTAGACTAAATTTGAATGTCTTTCCATCTGATTAGTGTAATGAGCCAAAAACAGAAGATGCTCCATCAGCTGATATGGTATCATCAAATCCCATTCCTATTGGCAAGAGAGGAGAAGCAGGTTAGTTTTCTTGCATGAGTTATATCAGCTGGAACCACTCTTCTGTATATAGAGGATTTTTAACTGGATATGTTTCAGGTCCAACCCATGTTCTTGTTGTTCGTGGACTGGATGAGAATGCTGATGAGGAAATGCTTCGTTATGAATTTTCTAAGCATGCTCCTATTAAGGTCTGAAAGTTTTCTTTTCCAACATGGTCATTTCTTATGCTTCTATTCATGATTTATTAATCTTTTTAAATCATACAGGATCTGCGGCTTGTCAGAGACAAATTCACACATGTCTCAAGAGGATTTGCATTCGTTCATTTCTATTCAGTAAGTTTAACATCACCTGCCTGTTCATCCTTGATGACGTAGAGGTTTTCTAATTGTGTTATGCTCAGTTTTGAAGATGATTTTGTAACATTCTTTTATATCTAATGAAAATTGAAATATTTCGGAATATTGGAAGAATGACACAAGACTGTATTTCCTCTTCTTCACCGAGTGGGTGAATTTGTGATATGATGTTAGTATGGCTTTGTTGTGGCAATTTTTTGTCTCTACGAGATTTAATTTGTCAAGAAATCGTGTTGTTTATGTGTATACTCCAACCTTCAGGTTGGTGATGCCACTAAGGCGCTCGAATCAACAAATGGTACTACTCTGGAGAAAAATGGTCAAATTCTTCGGGTTGCCTATGCAAAAAGTATTATTGGACCTGGACCTGCAGCTTCTTCAGCTCCGCAGTCAAGCAGTCTTGCTGCTGCTGCAATTGAGGCGGCAACATTTGCTCAGCAGGTTTGTTTTCTGTGCTTCCAGTAACCACTTTCTGTGACAGTGCTCATTGAATAATGTTCCATTTGCGACCGACGTTTCTATTTTGACTTTCTGTATGAACTGAAAGTTACTTGCCAGAGTTTATTTGCCAAGAACTCAATTTCTATGTGTGCGTTGCATGTTTGTCATGAATAGCATTACTGAAGTAAGTTGAATTAGAGGAATGGTGTTTGACTTTGTAAATATGTACACCGCCTACAATGTCGCTGTTGGTCAACAGATTCCGATACTCATATTTCCTGTCTGTTGGTTAAATTTTATCCTTTGCATTATATGAAAGACATGGTCTCTGTCAGACTTCAGTGTGATTTTTTACTCTCCAGCTTTATACCATTTTAGGTATGGAGTTATTACACTAACGAGAGGGTTTATTTGGAGTTTTGAGAAACAACAGCTGTATACTTGTGTTTATTGCCTTGCATTCACTATTTTTTGTTGGTTTTATTGAATCTTATGCAAGTGGATGCATCGTGATCGTCCCAACTTATGAATACCTTGCGTAATTGGCACTTCTCTCATTTATGATTAAAATATGTTTCTGTATATATTTTTTAGTATGATGCAGTTGGTTGGGCACCAAAGGAATACAATCCAGAGGATAACACTTCTGGCAGTGGTCAACAGCAAGCAGGACAAGTTGAGGGCCAAGGAGATCATTCTGCTCCCCAGTCTGGTTTCGTGTGGGATGAAGCTTCTGGTTATTATTATGATGCCGCCTCTGGATTCTACTACGACGGAAATACAGGTGTCCTTTTTATTATTATTATTATTATTATTATTATTATTATTATTATTATTATTATTACTATTACTATTATTATTATTATAGTTTTTATATGTGTGCCTTCAATTTGTTCACGTGTTTAGTTAATACCTTAATTAGTGAAGTCCTGTAATTTAAAAGCCGTGAGACTTATTCCTAACGAAAGCTGATGAAAATGGTCATATTCTGATATCTGCTTCTCTGCAGGTCTATATTATGATGGCAATAACGGCCTATGGTATTCTTTTGATCAACAAACTCAACAGTACATCCCTTGCACCGATCAGAACAACAAGACAGCAGAAAAACAAATTGAAACCTCCAAAGCCTCAAATGGTTCTAATAACAAAAAGGTTGTTATATCTGCCCCAGCTGCCACAGTGACATCTCAAGAGAAGGCAGCCGCCTCATTGCCGGATGCTGTCCAGGCTGCAGCTGCTGCCGCCATAGCTGCTGAGAAGAAAGAGAAGGAAAAAATGAAAGAAATCAAACTTGCCTCGAAAAGCAGCATCCTGGCCAACAAGAAGAAAATGAATAATGTCTTGACCATGTGGAAGCAAAGAAGTCACGAGGGTCAGGCGCCACGTGTGGCTATCGAGAATAACAGCCAAATCTCAGCTCCAAGCATGTTGAAAAATGAAGGCCCGATAATAACTAAAGATAATGTTAATGCTTCTCATAATGTGGGCTTGGAACCCCAAGACAGGGCAAGGCCCGTTATTTCGAGTTCTGGTGGAGGTTTGAAAGGAGTCATTAGGAGTTCTGGACTGGGAGTGGTAAAGTCGAATACTGTTTATACTGGGCAAGGGGAGAATACCGTGGAATCTTTTTCCTCGACATCCACAGAAGCTTCTACTACTGTAACACCTTTCCGAACAGATGCATCTGCTTTGGGTTTGTATTCGTCACCGGTTGCTGCAGGAAGTGGTAAAAGAAGGTTTTCTGAGTTGCCGGCAGCATCAGTTACAAATAGGGAACAGTCCCAAATCACGTACAGGGATCGTGCAGCGGAGAGGAGGAGCCTGTATGGTTCGTCGTCTTTTGGGGATGACTTGTCCAGTGCTGGAGGTGGAGATCCAAGTAAGCTTTTGATATTACATGCCCACCTTGTCTTTTTACACTGTGTGTGGTGTGTAATTGGGGCGGTTACAACACCACTCAGAATTTTTTGTCGAATTACCCAAAGCGAAAAAAAAATTGAAATTATAGAGATCACGTGCAAGGATTGGTCCAGCTGTTTGTTGGGCCAGTGTAACTCGTCACTGTCATAAAAAAGGTTACAGTTTGCCACAAAATAATCTAAAATATTACAAGGTGTCTCAACACCTTGATAGTAGTTGGAAAATCGGACTTATTTATTATATCTACTAGGAATGTAGAAGTATTTGAGGACGTTATTTTCAGGATACAAACAAAATCTACATTTAGTTCTTTTTTCCCTGTGGCGGTACTGTTCTGAGATTTGAGGGGATTAGATTACTGTGTGATAGACAATTAGTCCAGATAGAGCTGACATAGCTTTCAAGCATTCAACCATTGCAAAAAATTATGTGACAACACCATTCCAAATGGTAAAAAATTGTCAAGTCTTTTTTTCCTATGGACTTCGTATTGACTCGCTAGAAAAAAATTATGTTCCTTGTGGCTGGACTTTCCAAAGATCGAGACTCGACATATAGAAGGGGTGTTATGGACTCCATGCCTTTCCCTCCTGGTGTTGGCGGTGGACGAGCAACTGCTGGGGATGCCATCGCTAGTCAGAGTTATGATGTTATCACGGCGGATAAAGCTCTTGACGAGAACAATGTGGGCAACCGTATGCTGCGCAATATGGGCTGGCACGAAGGCTCGGTACCATTCTTTAAAACCCTACACTTGCAATCATGAACTTCAGATTATGTTTTGTCAAAGCTTCCTTAAAATACACACACTGTAGATTATTATATCTAATTATTTTACGTGAAGTAGTGAAGCTTTTGGATTTTTGGAGCACTGCTGAACTTTTATGTTGATTATGGAATTTCGTAATTAAAATCAACAAAAATAAATGGGTTGATTAATCTTATAAGCTCCTAACATCTATTTCAATATTGTATGAAGCCAGTTGATAAATGAAGTTCACCAAACAAATTTTTTAAGTTCACCCAACACCTTGATAGTATTCTAACCAAGTTGATGGTCATACTTCTGTGAGGTCACAGTAGTCCTTCTACCAAAGACATGATAATTCCTTGATTTATAATTTGGAGGCCGAAGTACCATATATAGCTGAAGTTGAGACCATGGTTCGAAAAACAGTATTTTTCGTGTACTTTTGTTCTGACTTTGTGTGGGTGGGCGCTTGTGCATGGTTTTTGTGCATTGATTGGTTGAGCAGGGTTTGGGAAAAGATGGGAGTGGTATGGTAGAACCAGTCCAGGCCAAAGCTGTAGAAACTAGAGCTGGGCTTGGGATCCATCAGCCCAAGAAAGTTGACCCGACACTTGAAGTCCATGCTGGAGATAGCTACAAAGCTGTTATCCAAAAAAAGGCAATTGCCCGTTTTCGAGAGATGTCATCCTAATAAGGTGAGTGACAGAAATTGGGAATAATTGAAAAGGAAGCATTTAATCTGAGTTTGCTTTTTCGGTGGGGGGGTTTATTTATATACATAGCTCAAGAGTAGTGAAATTTGCCCATCAGAGGTGCATATTGTAGCACTCTCAATGATGTCAAATGAAATGTAGTTTTATCTTACATTGTTTCAGTGACATTCTTTTCTCGTTCCTTCGAGTGTGCTGCTCGATGTTTGATGCTACAATGAGAATGGTGTTTGACTTTCTAATAATATAAATTTCAAATTTTCATCATTGTGTTGTTACAAAGGGTCAAGGGCATTTGCTCTAATTTTAGTATCTACTTGAAGATGGGTTCATCCAAAAAGATTTCTGCAGTTAAAAGTTAGATTTTCTAGTTTTTGTTCTACCACTGGAAAGTAAACACTAATTACCATTACACTTTTTCAATAGTATTCAGTATCTCATATATATTTATGGGAGATGCTACAGTCCCGTGACGGAACCATTCTGTCGGGGTTTGTAACTATTAGATCAACTAATTATCAATCGTTTTCAATTATGATTTGTTATTTCCATATGCCGTTAATGAACTGTAGTAATATTATTATTTTATATTCCTTCGAATTTTTTTTTTCATTAAACAAGAAAATTATAAACTAGTAAACAAGTAGGTGAGATGAATCAGAACAACTGAAAGAAGAGGTTGAATATTCGACACATTAAATTCGACAGATACGACCTCGACTACAGTTCATATATTTCTGCAGTGATAAAACACAGTAATGGTGATTCTCTTATCCTCTTCTGTATGCCAAATTCACCTTTCACATTGCAAAGCAAAATTAGGAACAAAAACGAGTGATGGCGGAAATGTAGCCACTGCAAATCCAGCAATCTCCCGCATTCTATTTCTTCTTGATACACCTTTGTTCTGTAATTTCATAACAAGAAAAAAGAGCTACTAAAACGATAAACTCGTCGAATTACCTAAAACCTGTTCGAACTTTCGGCAAATTGTCCCGTGTTGTTAGTTTTTCGACACTTCACAAAATCGAACCTCACTAAAAGGGCATTTTGTGAAGAGAAAATGAACCATTTTTAAACGATAAAGATTCGTCCTGTTTGTAATCGTACCTAATAAAATTACTGTTTTCTTACGAGATATAGAATCAGCGAGGGCGCTGGTGAAGTGTTCCCGTCGATTTCTTGGACTTTGGGTCGGGCTTGTGGGAGGCCCTGGACTTCTCTGTGCGTGTGCGCGCGTGTGTGTTTTGTGATGATGCCGTTGCTTCCTCTTCTTGGAACAGAGTGCGATGGGCTTTCTCCCGATCACGATGGACTACTCGAACAAAACTTCTCGAAGTTGATTGGCTACTTTCCGCAGAGATAGCATGTGCCATAAAAAAATTGTTGGTTTGCAAAATATGAGTGGTGGTTATTTCCAAAGTGTTATCAAAAAGAGGTAATGAACCATTTGCATCTTCCTCGTCAGAATCATAATTATATGGAGGAAGATAATTCATTGCGAATGATATCAGAGAGAAATATTGAAGAGAAATATTGAAGAAATACTCGACAGTGAATGTTATATGTAGCTTGGATGGTATTATGTATAAGTTCATGTTTATATAGGTGAATGAATAATAAATAAAGGAAATACTTGTTTTCTTCCTTGAATTCTTTATGGACAAGGCCATGTGAAACATTATTCTCTTGGACTATTTTTTTGACAATGACAAATGGTTCATCTGAAATTTGCATTCTTTATGGACAATGACAAATGATTCTAACATTTGCATTTTTTATGGACAAGGCCATGTGAAACATTAATTTGCTTTAGACAATGACAAATGAATAAAGTATCCATTGGATTCTTTTCGGGCAAGACCATGTGAAGCATTCATTTGCGTTGGACAGTAAAAAATGAATAAACTATCCATTGGATTCTTTTCGAGCAAGACCGTGTGAAGAATTAATTTGCATTAGACAATGACAAATAAAGCGATTTCATATATTTCTGCAGTGATAATACACAGTACAGTGTCATGTAATGGTTACAAATGCAGTGATTCTCTTATCCTCTTCTGTACGCCAAATTCACCTTTCTCATTGCCATGCAATATTAGGAACAAAAACGAGTGATGGCGAAAAACGTAGCCGCTGCAAATCCAGCAATCACCCGCATTCTACCTCTTCTTGATACACCTTTGTTCTGTAATTCCATGACAAGAAAAAAGAGCTACTAAATGATGTAAAATCATGCCAAAAAAAAACGTCGATAAAAATTACGGTTTTCTTACCAGATATAGAGTCAGGGAGGGCGCTGGTGAAGTTTTCCCGTCCGTTTCTTGGACTTTGGGCAGGGCTCGTGGGCCCGGGACTTTCGGCGCGTGTGCATGTGTGTGATGATGGTGATGATGATGATGCTTGTGCTTCTTCTTGTGCTTGGCGGGCCCCGGTGCCAATGCATGAGCTGGCAGCGGCTGCTGAGCTGGTGGAGGATGAGGCAGAGCTGACGGCGGTGGGGTGGCCGAAGGCTGAGGTGGGTTGTCCGGCGAATGAGTGGTCGCAGGAGTAGTAGGTGAGGCTGCCGGAGATTGGGCTCCAGCAGCTATTGCTGAGACGCAAAAGCAAGAAAGAGAAGCCAATAATAGTAACTTCGTCGCCATTTGTTTTCGTGCTCGAAAGTTTGGGGTTTTTGAAGAACTTTTGGTCCCATCAAATTTATAATTTGAGTTTGGTGAAGTGTTGCTTTACATAAGTGTCTTAAGATCAGTGTCTTGAATCTTCAAGCTTTGGCTTTTGGATTCTCAATGTTAGAACACTACAGTGTTATGCTGAATTTGGTTTATAGTTTTATTACAAGTGCTAGTATAGATTGTTAAGTTTGTGTTACTGTCTATCAACAATTACACATCAAAATCAATACTAATGATCGGAGATGTTACGGTCTCGTTACGGAACAATTTCGTCGGGATTTGAAACCGTTAGATCAACTATCTCCGACGGTTACATGATGATCTAACGGTTTCAAACCGAAATGGTTCTGTAACGGGACCTTAGCATTTCTCAGTGTTTACTACTGCACATGATTTTTATGCATTGGGTTTGTGCTATTGTTCATTTTTTAAGGGTTCTTTCTTTAGAGTGAAGCAAAATGCAGTTTTGTGATACACATGCAAGTGAAGGTGAATATATGGCTATGAGTGTTTGGTCATGGAGACCATGAAAAAAATTGACAGGCTTTTTGTCTGCTCAATCATATGATTTCTTGAAGCAACTTATTTTTCCAAAATGAAATTATGCCCAAATTGAAAAAAAAAAAAGGCTTTGAAGGGGGTTTATCTCCATTTATATATTTTAGTAATTAAATTATTAGTTTTTAATATTAAACAAAAGCTAAAATCTAGTCCCAACATGAAATTGTGCTTTCATTCATGAAATCATATTATAATGACTAAAATATCCTGCAAAACTAAATTTTTATTATCTTTCATGATATTTGTTTCTTTATAATAACATAAGAAAATTAAGTTCTAGAATCACAAATATAGAGTTGTTCTAGAATCACACACATATATATAGGTTAAATTTTATAATATTTTTTTTGCAAAAATACTTATATTCCCCTTATATATAGTTTTCGAATGTGATAAGTCTAAACGGCAGACACGCATGCTTCGAAATCCTGTGTGTCAAAATTTCATGCTTCATTATTTGACTTGGATAGATTTTAATTTACTTCTAAACAAAAAATAATTAGGTTCAGATTATCCATAAATATGTTGATAATTTATGGTTATGGTACATGTATTGATTGCATTTTTATATTATTTTGTTATTATAACCATTGAATTGTAAATGTATTTTAAAAGTTAATTACTTTTGAATTTTGTACCAGTCTTGCATATATAATATATCAAATTAATCATCTGTTGATTAGCTTCAATTTGACTTCCATATTGTATATATAAAATGCATAATTTATATTTATCTTTATGAAAATAATAAAATTATTTGTCAATATTAATTAGAATATAAAAATTATTTATCAATTGATATATTTATGTTCAAGTAGTTATATGATATAAGTTAAGAAAATTATTATAATATACCTTATATAAGTCACAGAAGTAACATGTGTCGCTCTAAAATATATAATAATATATATTTTTTTTTGTAAGAAAGTATTTAAATTTAAACACTTTTTTTCATTAATTTGAAAATTAATTAAATTTTTTTAACTCATCCGTGTAATAGTGTATTATGATATATTATACATTGTTATGAATTATTCATTACTTTATTAACATCAATCACTGGTTCTTACAAGCTTTCACTATTTTTGGATTAAATAACAATTTTTTTTTAAAAAAAAGTAACTTTTAATTGAATATGTGTTTTTAATTTTCATTGTTAAATGTTCATAGTAGTGGGATGTAGCTAATAATTTGTTACATCCCTTAGGACATTACGGACCATTTTCGAGCTGGAGCCCAATCCAAGTAGTTTAGAATGGGCTTAAAGCCTAAATTGACAAACAAATTAGATAGAGCCCATGTATAGATTTTCCAATGTAGACGTGGCCACGGGCCACCCGACCCGTCGGCCTGGCCCGGACCGGTCAAACCTGTTGACCACGGGTCCAGACCCGGCACGAATTTCAAACAGGCCGGTCCAGGGTCTTGTTTTTGTCGACCCTGGTCCGGCACAGGAAAACCGAAAACATATTGTTTTTGAATTTTTTTTTTATATATATATTTTTGAAAACCAAAACCATTTTTTTTTTTTTTTATCACTGTTTCTATTGGGTTTCATCTCTAGCCTACCCCAACTTGTTTGGGACTAAAAGGCTTTGTTGTTGTTTGTATATATTTTATCTGGTCGAGCCCGCCCCGGCTCGTCGAGTTGTGAACCCGACACGATCCTAGTTCCGTGCCAGTTCAGGGTCCAAGAAACTTAACCCGGTGACCCGGACTGGATTTTGGCCATGTCTATTCCAATGCATACATCAAATAGTTCTGCGTCATATTTCTTTCTATACAGACAAGTTCAAAGAAGTGTTTGCACAATTTAACAAAGCTATTAGCTAATATTGGATAACTGATTATATTATTAAATAGTTATTACTAAATTGTGGTAAATAATTTGATTAGAGAATTGTGTTAGTTGTTTGTAAAATGAGGGTTTTGTAAATAGCGATTTGTATTGTTATTTTGGAAATGTTATATTATTCAGTCATTTTATGATTCTTCTCTATCCAAAATGTTCGTATATTAAACTTTTTTAAAATTAGCGATTCGAGCCTAAAAAAACTAATCAGTTATATTAATAGATTTAGCGGGCCAAACCTCTCAATGAGATTCAATTAATTAGTTTTACACAGCTCCACTAATATCCAAATGAGTCCATAATCTAAAGCTTGTTTACAATTAATGTGATTGTACTACATTAATATGTGTTGGATTCGGATGAATATGTTAACTGAAATGGGCCGTTCGTGAGCTCGGCTCGGCTTGACTGGTTTAATAAACGAATCGAGCTTGAACTTATTTAAAACTCGTTTGTTTAACAATCTGAGCTCGGTTTGATAAAGCTCAAAACGATGTTCTTATATAATTTTTTACAGTTCGACTCGATATAGCTCGATTCGGCTTGAGCTCCGTTCGTTAATACTGATAAACGAGTCGAGATCGAACTCGATTATAAGCTCATTAAGTTAACGAGTCGAGTTGACTTGACTCGTTAAAAGCTCGAACTTGAGCTTGATTATAAACTCATTGAGTTAACATGCGGGCTCAACTCGTTAAGGGCATGAGACTAACTAATTTTATATTTTTTAGTTTTGCAATGAAGCTCAATATAGTTGAAGAAGTCCAAATAAAGTAAAAACTGGGGAAGGAAATCTAAAATGCAGGCTTGCTAAAAAGGAAAAATAAATTTGGTGCACTATCAAAATAGGCACAATAAATATTAATAAAATAAATATAAAGAATTATGAATTTTGGTTGGCATATATTGTCCTAAATTTATGGCTAATGACTTGTATGTCATAACCAACATGACCTCTGAAGAGTTTTGGTCACACTAATTTAATTATTTAAAGATACTTGCAGATTAATTAATTAATTAGGTCTATAGAAATCAAATGATTTTGATTGCCCAAATGATTATTAATGTACGTTCCTAACACATTAACGTGATTTCAAATCCTCCATCTGAAAATTGAAATAGGTCGTATATAGTATTTTATTTCTTGCCTTGTTAATTCTCAGCTGATTTTACAAAAGGAAAATAGAAAATAACTGCACTAGAAAATTAATTTAGGTACCTGCAATTTCCTTTCGATTTCCGTTCAGAGTTGGAGCTTGTAGGTACCTGCAAAGGGACGCCAGAGGTTTTCCGGCGTTAAACTCTCCGAAGCTTAAGTCAGTATATATATGAGAGATGGAGGGAGAAGATGAACAGTAAAATTGTAGTTGTTGAGTATTAAATGTCACTTACTTACCAAAGTTAATGCTCTCCATATATATAGATATTTACCTTATGTACAGATACTTTGTAATTGAGGTTATGTCAAGGGGTCGTTTTTATGGGAAGTTGTTCGATCTCAAAGGGCCTGAGATCGATCCTCGAGGTGTTGAGTCCCAAGCTCGGTCCTCGTGGGGTTGGATGTTACAGGCCCACGTACTACTTTGCATAACTAGATTAGGGTCGAGCGTGGGTGAGAGTGACCTCGACCTGCTAGATGGAGGATCAAGCATGCGGGATCGATCCCGGGAGCTATGGCTTCTAATTGCGATTATATCTATATCTATATAAATATAAAAAGGTTTGGCATTTACTTGAAAAAGAAACTATTTTCCCGCCTAAATAATTTGCTATTACTTATATTAGTAATTTTTTAAAATACTTTTAAAAAATGGCTGCCAATAATTTGAAATTCAAATTAAAGAAATCAAGTTAATTAAGGTACATAATCATTATGCTAAATATGACACTGTTACCATTCAAATGAGCAAATATTTTAGCTAACTATTATCTTATTAAAATCTTTATATAAACGTAATATATAAAAGATATGGGAATGTTTAATTAAATCAAAAAAGATCAAGTAAGATATTAAGATTTGTTGTCATTATCGGATTAGTTAGATATATTTATTACCAAATCAGATTTAATGGCAACAGAATTCCTAAATAATGTCTAGATATTTTTTCCTTTTAAATTATCACGTGTGAATAAACATTATTGGCTTTTTTTATATTATTTTTTAATTTATTTCACCAGTAAATTGATTTATCTTATAGTTTTTTCGTGAATATATTATTCCATTTTTTAACATTAAAAACATTGTTTTTTATATATTTTCTTTATAATAATGTGCATGGACAGTTCACTATCTACAAAAAGACCTTAATTACAATTAATAGATTGTCGTACTTTAAAAATCAATGGTTTATTTACTTTTAGTTTTAAATTTAAATTTTTGATTTTATATGCAAAAAGATGAAGTTATTGATTTTTTATAATCAGTAGGCTATTATTTTAATAAAAAGATTTTATTTCTAATGTTTTAATTCATTAGTAATCTAAATTCTTCATCTTTTTGCATTATAAAATCGAACATTAATAATTGCATAATAATTTATAAATTATAATATAAATT